ATCCAGGGCTGTAGAGATAGCCCCGCTGGTACAAAGTGTTGGTTAAGCAAGCACAGGGACCTGAGTTTGCACCGCCAGCACCCACATAAAAATCCTAGAGCAGTGGAGAGCGCCTGTAACCCCGGCACTGGGGAGGCAGAGACAGCAGGATCCCGGGGGCTTGCTCAGAGCCAGTCTAGGTGAACTGGTGAGCTCCAGGTTCAGTAAGAGACTCTTTCTCAAAAAAATGAGACTGGCTGGGGCTGGAGAGATGGCTTAGTAGTCAAGAACAAGTACCGCTCTTGCACCCACGTCAGGCAGCTCACAACTGCCGTAACAAACTCCAGCTCTAGGGGATCGCACACCCACTTCTGCTTCTGCTCACATGCACATACACACACTTTAAGATAAAACAGATCTTAAACAAAATAGAGTGGAGAGTGACTGATGAGGATACGAGAGGTCAATCTCGACCTGCACAAACACGCAGACACATGCACAATACGTCTGTACATACATGAACACACAAATAAAAGAAGGAAGCCTGTGTCAGTCAGAGAGGCAACAAACCCATCTGTCAAAACCCAGCATCCATTCACAGACATGGAAGGAACTTCACCCAGTGAGAATCTGTCACTGCCCAGTTCCATCCAAAGTGACCAGCTCACGTATGACAAGTCTGGGTCCCAACCAGTGCCACCAGCAACTCCTCCTCCAGCTTTCTTGTTGCCACGCCCTCCCCTGCCCTTCCAGTGCTGGGCCCCAATTCATGGAGCTGCTGACACCCTCTGCTGTCTCTCGTGGCCTGGATATTCTGTCCACCTTCTATGTTCTCACCCAGCAGAGCCCCAGCCTTATATGGGCACAAGCAGTTAAAAGGGCTGCAGACGTAGCTGTCCAAGAGCTCAGATGGGTCCTCTGTGTGCAAGGCATCTGACTGCTGATGTGGACCCTCCAACACCACCTCTACACTGTCCTCTGTCCTCACTGGCTCCACACACAGGCTGCACTCAAAGCCTGCACTGGGGCAGTGTGTAGGGCAGATGCTGTGGCATGGTGTGCCTGAGCACGCATGTGGGGTCCACCCATGCCTGCAGACAGATGCACTGCTCCTCCTGAGACTGGAGTGCTATCTACGGTCCTGGGGGTCTGGGGTCCGGGAACATATGCAGCAGACTGGATTAACACTGGTTTTCGTTTTTGTTTTTTCAAGACAGGGTTTCTCTCTGTAGCTTTGGAGCCTGTCCTGGAACTCACTCTGTAGACCAGGCTGGCCTCGAACTCACAGAGATCCACCTTCCTCTGCCTCCCGATTGCTGGGATTAAAGGCGTGCGCCGCCGCCACCGCCCGGCATGGATTGACACTGTTTTATCGTTGTCTCCCTAGGAATGCTGGCTTGGCTAAGGTAAAGAGGGGACTTTGGGCACAGAGGGGCCCCACTGGAACCCACTCAGGGCCCACTCAGGGCCCTGTTTCAGGGACACTTCCTTGCTAACTCCTTGTCCAGGAACTAAACACTGCTGATTCCCAGAGAGATGAGAGCAGCTTTTATCCTATCCTGGCTGCTAAGTATTCTGTGCCCTGACGAGGGGGTCTAAGAGAGCCCTGACTGTGATCCTCAGAGGCAAAGAGGTGTGCAGGGGCAGAGGGCAGTCCTCACACTAACTTTTTCCTGCCTCCCTACGAGTTCTTCATGTTAGAGGGGCCAAACTACTGACTCTGACCAAGCATGGCCCTCTGGGTTAGGAGTAAGTCTGCTTCTACCTCATCCTCACCTGGAAATAGGCATAGCATGGAGGTAGAGACAGCCCAGTTGGAGAACTGGGAGCCTGGTAGGAACCTCAACTGGAGAAAGACCAGCACTCACCCTAGAGGCCATGCTCCTGAGTATGGGAAGATCTGAGGAGCAAGGAAGAGTGGCAGGGCCCTGTGCTCCTATATTCCTCATATACAGACAGTGGTATGCGCTGTACCCACGATCCCACTGCAAACCCCATGTTCTGCTCCAGTATGCACAGGCACTCCTGGTGCACATGGAGATGACCAGCTGTCCCCAGTGGCTTTGGTGAGGCCATGACTGTAGCACAACCAGAACTGCAGATGGACACAAGGCTGGGACTCTCTGCTGGCACACTGGGCTGCTCTGGCCCAGGGCTCTCTTGGGTAGGGGAGTCTTGCTATTACTTAACGACCTAAAATACTACTGGCTGTAAATCAATCCCTGCTTCAAGGCTGTGGGCCCTACTCCACGTGGAGGAAAGAGCAGGGCCTGGGTACCACCTGTATCTTGAGGCCCAAACCTGACGGCCAGCAGCAGAGCCACCTCAGGGAGGCAGGCGTGAGCTAATGTCCCTGGGGTTCCCCAGCCACTCTCCAGTAGGTTGTCCTCCGCAGGCATTCTACTGGTCATAGCAGCCCCTCCCTGACAGTCCCGGCCAGGGCTCAGGACCCTCCAGAAGGATCTCTGGCCACCAGTGGCTCTTACAACTCATGACCTCAGGTGCCAGGAATGCTCGGCGCGGCACCATCTGGTTCTGATTACCCATGCTAGGCTGCGGGCGCCTCAGCCAGGGATCTGTGTCCCGAGTGGCTGGGAGATTGATTTGGGCTCCTCGGAGATTTTAGGAGGAGGGTGTGAGGAAAGCACGTCTGAACCAACGTGGGGTTTGGGCCAAGGCCGGCGGCCATGTTTTGCTGTCATGGCACCAGTAAGGATGCTGTGGACCGGAGGCCATCTCACTGGCTCTCAGGTGTTAAGAATGACCTCAAACAGCATGCCTTGGCAAATTACCAGATGCTTCCTTTCCCAAGCCTGGGCTTTACAGAACCAGGATCTCCGGGGCCTCTAACACTGGACCTTCACCAGACTCAGGAGTCATTCTCACCCTCCCAAGCAGGAAGGCGAGCTCAGCAGGGGGCCTGAGGCTCTCTACCTCCTTTGATGTAGCTGCGGAGCCAGGCCCTGCCCACCTCACCCCAACTACTTCCAGGCTGCAGCGCCCAGCTCCCCTTCTGCTTTAACTTTTCGATTCATTAGTAGAGTAAAAGTTCATCTCTGGACTGGAACATGCCCATAAATTAAGTCTTAAGTTCCAGCAGCTGTTTCCCAAACATGAAGGGAGATCCCAAGAAGACATGGGCTGGAAGGGTCTCTTCCCAGGTGCAGGGCACAAGAGGCCTGAGTCGGAGCTGCACAGATCTTACAGGAGCTGCCTAGGCATCAGCCCTCTGCCTTCAGGCTGATGAGTCACACCATAAAGGAATGGATGCTGGACCCCACAGGGTGGTGCTGCTACCCTTTACCAGGCCAGAGGCAGGAGCGGGTGTATGAAGGAGACCCCAAGCCTACCTGCCGGGCTCAGCACCTAGTGAGGTGGGGACTCTGGCACACAGGTCCAGTGGTTGAGTACTGTGCTTTCTCCTTTGCTCACAGGCAGGCCATGGTTCTCAGGGCTTAGGGACTCTTCTGCAGGTTAGGACACCCTTTCCTTCACAGCAGAAAACTCTCAGACAGAGGGAAGGATGGATGGATGGACATACAGACAGTTTTACTCTCAATCCACTATATGCCCAGCACAGCTGGACCCCCAGGGATGGTCAATGTTCAGAGTTAGGATATATGCCTGCCTTACCGGTGGGCCTCACTGTCCACTTTCCCTCTCCTGGGCATTGCTGGTGGGGAGGCCAAGTTATCTATGCTGTCTCTACTTCCTAGGGAGGTACTCCTGCATCTGCCCCTCCTTGGCCACAGTCACTGTGCCCAAGCCATGGCATGTTGTTTTGGGGCACCTCTTACAGTTCTACTCCACATCAGCCACCTTCTGATCTAGGACTTCCCTTGGCCCCTATCTACTGTCCACAATCAGTCCCTTTCCCAGAATGACCTCATAATAAGGCCCTAATTTATACCCTGGGTTTAGTGACGCCCTCAAGACCCTGGGTGCTGCGCAGCACCAACGTAGCCCTGACTTTCCCCAACCACATGCTTCAGGAAGTCACTTAGACCTGGACCTGATGTGTTCAAAGCAAACAGTATCCTCAGCTACAAGGCTTGAGCTGGGCAGCGTGAGGCGGCTGAGCAAGGCTTCTTTCCCACTTTGGGAAGGCTGCAGTAATGACCTCTGAAGCCTCCTATTAGATGGAGGCAACTTGGACCACCATGCCCCAAAGAAGGGTTGGCATGGCCCCCTAGCCAGGTCCACGGAGGCCAGGAGCTGGGCTATGGCCACATGATACTCCGTATGGCATGCAGCTCTCCCACCAGGGCCGTTCCCAATGTTTGGCCAAGGCCAGGTCTGTCTTCTGAGACTCCTGGTGAAGCTCCTTATCTACCCTGGGTCAGGGTACCCAGGCCACCTCTGGGGTCCTGGCAGCCTGCAGTTTGCCAGGCCTGTACAAAACCAAGTCCTGGATGCCTATTTCACAGCCCCTGCCACAGTCCCGCCATCTCAAATGGGAACAAGCCAGCTGGGCCCATTATGCTGCACTCCAGGGGACAGAGGTAATCCTGGGGCCATTCCAAGTGGGATGGTCCACGAGACATTGTGGGGTTGTCTCTAGCAAGCCCTGCCCAGCCAAGGCCTTACTGCCTGGTGGGCTTTCCTGTGACCTGTGAGCAACAGTCTCCCCAGGACCAGCTTACGGATCCCATCGGGCCATGGCTTTGCAGGATTTGCCCATAAGTTTTCTTTTTTCTTTTTCTTTCTTTTTTTCCTTTGATTAATCAGTTCCTTACTGACCAAATTCCTCTGAGTTTTCACAAAGGAGTTTGGTCTGCCCGGACATTACGTGCCTTTTTTCTAGATGGACAAGACTTGATGGCTGTTAACCCGAGGTCCAGGAGAAACCCAAACCATGTGAATGGTGAGCCCACGCCCACTGGCCCTTGCTCCCCTACTGCCTCCGAGTGATTAATTAGCTAGGGAACTGCAGCCGCTCCTCTTCATGCCTAAATATTGTTTCGGCCTATCAGACTGTTAGTGCAGAGCAGGATAAATGAGGCCCGGGCCTGTGCACTGACCTGCAGGGACTGCTGGCTGTCCAGACTCCAGACAGCCAGCACCTTCCCGGCAGAGCCCGAGACGCCCTTGGCCTTCTGAGAGTCGAAGTCAAGGCCCATGACAGGTTCTTCATGGCAGGCGATTCGGCTGCACACCTTCCGCTCCGAGATGTCCCACAGGGTTACCGATCCATCCTCATAGCCAGCCAGAAGGAGAGGGCGGGGACTGGAGTTAGCCTGTGGAGAATAGCACAGTCGTTGGCTCCCAAAGGGTCTTGTCTCCAATGAGTGTTAGGGCTGTGGGAACATCTCTCTCTAGCCATGCCCACAGTGGGGTTGGCCCAGCTAGAGTAACAGTTCCGTTGCTTTCCATAATCTTAGCAGCCTTCCACAACCCTCTCATGGGGCTGGCAGCCCAGGACCTGAGGAGCTGGAGGTGGAGTGGAGACCAGTCCATCTGAGCCCCCAGGACTCACACAGTCATGCATTTCCACCTACACTACATCCTGTCCACAGCAAGGACGATATGACACCCACTGGCCCCCACCAGCACCCTGGGGCAGCTGAGGATCGACTTCAGACTTCTTCCTCGTGTCCTCCACGTAAGGTAAGACTTGAAGTCACTCCTTGTTGGGAGCAGTCATCTTCTAGAACCACCGGGCAGGGAAATTTCAAGCTCAGTGAGAAGGACTTTCTGGGCTTTGTTAACGTAGCCGCAGAAGCCCCCACCCTTGGAAGTTCGGTGTGAGAGGCCCTCACCATCGTGATGGATGAGGGCGAGGGTCAGAGGGCTCTGCGCCCTGGGCTGACGCTCGTTTATTTAGCCTCTGAAACAACTACAAAAGAAGAGTGCTGCAGGATTCCAAGTCACCCTCAGGGACATGCCATCAGTCCCTGCACTGCACAGCAGCCCAAGAGAAACTGCACAGGGCTGAGCGCGGAGGCCCAGGCTAGCTGGAGGCCTACGGTATATAGCTAACAAACAGCACAAGGGCTCTCTGGGTCAGCCCAGGCTGTGGCTGGGGGTGTGGTGCAGTGTGAGCCTGGTGGGGGGAAGAGGAGGGCCCACTGTAGACCAATATCTGGAAGGATGGTAATAACAAGGAAAGAAGGACACAATTGCCAGACTTTCTGCAAGTACAGTGAACTTGCCAAGGCCAGAGCCACCAAGAGGGCCTCTATATGTCCCCACAAATGGCTTGTAAACTGATTGTATCCTGCTGGTAATTCAAGTTCACACGTACAAAATAGGAAGGAGTGAGGCTCCTGGGAGGGACCTAGAGACAAAGATTGGCTCTGCTTCTCCTGCCCTTTAAAGTATAGCCTGAAAGATGGTAGCAGGCCAGGGCCTACAGGAACCTCAACGGTGTGTACAACTCAACTAGAGAGCCCCAAGACTCAGACAGGGAACCTTCTCTGAGGGTGGGTACTGATGATGTTAGCTCAGGCCTGATTTACAGCCTGACCTATCCTGTAATTATTACTGCAGCAATGTAGGGAAGCTACTTTAAAGCATGAGTTAAAGATGGACCTGAGTGTTTCAGAAAATACATCAGGTCAGGATACTTTGCCACACTCTGATCAGTGAGTTCATATCCTAGGATTTCTGGATTTAGGAGGACACAGAACATTCCTATAACCAGAGGCTTTTTGCAGCTATAGGCTTTACATTGGATCTGTATCACCAACAAAAGCATGATTTGTCCTTCTGTCAACTATATTAATTACCTTAACAAGTTTGTACATCCCTTTCTACACATCTTTTTTTCTGGTGGAATTTTTACATGATTGGGCAATGACCCACGTTTTCCAGGGTGCAGAACAGGATCGGTGCAGCTATAGGTGCCTGTGCCAGGGCCTGTATGTATCATGGTCATCTCCTTGGATACTTCAGCGGGAGTAAGGTTGAGAGGCAAAATGAAGATACATTTATTTTCCCAGGAAAGCACCCAGAAACTCTTGAGAAACCCCATCTGGACACACTGAGGCCGAGAACTAGGCTCTGCCCGAGTCAGGCTATAGACTTGTGGGCCCAGGAGCTCTGTCAGCTAGGCTCTCAGGAGTCTTGATGCCCCGAAGGCTTTTCTCCAGGAAGCTGCACAGCAAGGGCTGCACCTAGGGTTGGCTTACTCACGACTTCAAATCTAACTCAACCCTCTCAGTCAAACTGCAAGGGGCTGGAGGGATGCCGGAGTGGTGAAGAGCACTGGCTGCCCTTGCAGAGAACCCAGGTTTGATTTCCAGCATCTACATGGCAGCTCACAACAGTCTTTAACTCTAGTTCCAGGGGATCTGAAGCTCTCTTTTGACTTCCATAGACACCAGGCACACAAGTGGTGCACACACATTCATGTAGCCAAAACACTCATACATATAAGATAAAAATAAAAAAGGAAGTTGCAAGGAGAGCCAATTGAAAGCAGGCCAGACATCTTTCTGCCTTCCATGCAGAAAGAATCCCTGAGGCAGGCACAGAGATGCCCTCCCATGCTTCTTGTGGGTCATGTGGGATTCCAAACTGAACAAGCCCATCTCATCTCACTCACAGAAGAGCTCAAGGAGGCAGCAAGCCATGATGCAGAAATCACCAATGAGAAGTAGGAAGATGGCCAAAAGGGTCACAACCCCTCCCCACATGGGCGCTGCCCTGTGACCGGCCTACTGCAGTGTCTGTACCGGGTAAGACTCTGAGGCTTCCGGAATTCTTTGCAGATGACATAGTAAATAGAAGTGACCCGGGAGGGAAAGATGCCGACCTGGATGTGGCCAGGGGAAGGCTTCACCTTGAAAAGGTCTGGGCCTGTTTATGTGTGGAGGGACTCCAGACCTTAGGGCTGTGATGACTGCCTGGGTCCCAGTTTTTGCAGCAGTCCCAGGAGATGGCCCCTGACCCTCCAACAGAAACAACTATCAAGAACAAAGGAAACAGTTACAGGCTAGACTTCCCTGGAACGACCGTAGGGAAATCATCTGCTAATGTTCCTGGGACTTCTATAAGGTAGGGAAGTAGCAAAAGTGAATGCCCAGAACTGCAAGGTCCAGGCAGGCTGCTGACATCAGTCAGCTTTCCCCACAGCCTCAGCAGAGCCAAGGACCACAGCTGACCCAACTATCCCCTCCTCACAACCACATCTGGGCATCTGTGGGGCAAGCCAGTCAGGGCCTGTGGAGGGTGGGTACTGGAATCTGGTTTTCCTGCAGTGTTTCTGTTGGGGTTTCTTCCAAGAAACAGCAGCAACCTGGGAGAAGCGATGTCCAGTCAATGTTGGACCACAGAGGACAGCAGGTACATGTTCTCTAAAGGACAGTGCCCACAGATTTGATGACAAACCCAGCCCTGAGTGGGGCATGACTCAGGGCTGTCGGGTGTGGCTGGCGCACACTGTCTTACCTGCCACAGCCCCAGGCACATGGGCATGCCTGGCTTGGCATCTGCCTCCGGCTTCAGGGTGCACACTGACGTCTTGGATGGCATCTCCAGAATCTGAACCTGACAGTGAGAAAACAAGCTGATTTGGGCTGATGCCAAGCTGAGTCTATGCTATGCAAACAAGAGACGTTTAAGGCGATTAGCCAAGGCTGCTTCGAGTTTCTGTCTGCTCCTCTCCCTGTAGGGACCTGAGAGCAGAGCCTCCTAATTAGTTTGCACAGGCTAAAGGGCTGAGATGTTCCTGGGGTCCTTGCAAAACAAATGCTCACCTCATTCCTGAATGACCAGCCCTTCACCAGTAAGCAGCCCCAGTTTGTCATTTGGGCAAAGCAGGCCTGACTTACTTGGTCCTGCTTACTCTGGCCATCCTCCTTCCTTTGCTAGCCTCAGTTAGGATTTGCAAGGGCTCTCTTTGAACAACCTCAGGCACATAACATGACGCAAAGTCTTGTTCAGAAGGCCTGAACTATCTACCCAGGAAATCAGCATGTTGCCAGAGCTAAAGCGAGGTCCACTGAATCCTGGTTTCCCTGTACCCAAGTACCTGACTTACCAACCCAGATTACCTAGATGCCAAGCCCTTCTGTGCCTGGCCTGAGATAGGCCTTGTGACCCACATGGCCCAGCTTCCCATTGGGTATGCAAATCCAAGTGGACTGCTTGTATGCTGACCAGCACCATCCACAAGGACCAGACTGGATTGGGTTCCCAGACATCCGGTATCTACGGTGCTAACCTGGTACCCTTATTCATTTGGGGATATGTGACACCTCTCCTGTGAGCTTAGCAGAACAGAAGGGCCCCATATGACATGCTGCAGCCCAGCCCAGCCCAGATGTTTCCTATGCCTTTTATCTGCCTGGGGTTCTACTGCACTGTTGTGCCTATGTGTACCTTCTGCTGTCATGTGAGCTGAGCCGATTCTGGAATTCTGGAGTGTCTCTAGGTACCAGCAAGAGCAATTCTCCATGGCAACTAGCAAGAGCATGAATACAAACCTGCTTAGCATGCCTTGGTCTACACACAAGGCACCAGAGCTCCAAAGGGATGGAGAGAATTAATTGGACAGCATATACCAGTATGGTCAGGCTGGGACAATTTCTGAGAGGCCAGAGTGTAGGCAGCCACCTGAGTCCTGTGGGGCTGGGTCCAGGGCTGCTTCCAGGCAATGCGGAATGCCACGCACACAGCCTGGTCCTTCAGTTAGAGTTCTGCTGATGTGCCCACTTCCGATAATGGGGGCCAGGGTGCTTGCTCTGTGGCAGGGTAATCTCACCAGAGTCCCCATAGTGAGTGGACTTCTAGTGGCTGAATTAAGCACTAGGAATGGCCCACAGCTCTCCGTCTAATCTGCTGCAGGCGAGTCTTGTAACCCTGCCTTTGCAGGGGGAGGAAACATGCTCAGGCCTTTAGGAGACAGACTGAAGAACACTTGGCTGTCTGTGGGAGGCAGTAAGGGAGAGTCCTAGGCGCCGGTCATGTCGGAGGGCAAGGCATCAGGATGGTTGTCACAGCTCCAGGGACCAGTAAGCATGACAGTGCCCAGAAGATACGGTTCCAGGGAGGCAGGGAGGTTACCGTGAGGTAGTACTCAGTGCCCAGAGGGGTTGGTGACTAGTCAGACTACACAGAAGACACACCACCCGAGGGCAGAGGAAGCAGAATCCATCACGGGAAGGGGTGCCCAAGATATGGGAAGGCGGCGTGTATGGAGGGAGCCGGGTCAGAGGACAACACAGGCCAGGAGACAGGGCTGCTGCGGGGCGACCGAGATGAGCAGAGGCGGTGGGCCAGCAAGTGTGCACTAGAGTGGCTCCCAGGCCGGAAGGCAGAGAAGGGGAGGGGGCTCCTATCCACAGTCCTGTCTCCTCAGGCCCACAGCCCTCCACAGCCAGCAGCATGAGGAGGCAGCTCCTGCTGGGGCTGGCAGATCAGGCCCGTGCACCGGGTTAGGCCTGGCTCCTGCCCAAGAAAAGTCATTTTGTCTCCAACCAGATCTAGTTCATAAATAATGAGATAGTAACAGGCATTTATTTGTTCATGATTGCATTTAAATCACCAATTAGGAGCTACACACACTTTTCTTGCCAGTTTGCCAAAAACCTGTTAAAAGTTTTATTAATGTGAGGGGTGGGGGAGTTGCTTACTCCTGTACAGCAGGCCAGGCAGTACCAGGTCATCCCAAGCCACAGACCCACAAGATGCCACTCTAGGGTTAAGAGAGCTCAGATACTCTCAGGCTGCTGATCAGTAGTTTTCCTCTGTGGAGGTCACAGGTTTCTGTGCAGTTTTAACCAGCTTCCTGGCCCTAGCCCTCAGTGCAGGTGCCATTTGTATTTTCAAAACAGTTTTTATTACATTTATTTACTCGTGTGTGTGTGTGTGTGTGTGTGTGTGTGTGTGTGTGTGTGTGTGTACAACTTTTGTGACACAGCTCTCTCACCATGCAGGGTCTGGAAACTGAGTCAGGCTGTAGCTAGGCAGCAGCACCTTTACCTGCTGAGCCATCTCAACAGCCGGATGTTGTATTTTCAGAAGTTGCCAGCACATCCTGGGCAAATGGTTATTTTCCAGTCTGCCTGGAATCTGCCTAAACTGGCTTGGGCCCAAACAATGCCTGGGAGCACGCTCCCACCCCTCACGGCCGTCTGGGTGGCCACACTTGCCCAAACCTAACATTTTCCCTTCTGGAAACAAAAGCTGGCGTTGGGTGCCAGATGGAAAGCTCAAGTGTCTGTAGGAGGCCCCATGCTCAGGGAGGCTGGGCACTGCTCCTTCGGCTCCCAGAGGCCTGGAGAAGCAGGGTAGGCAGGGTGCTGCCCTGGGTCTGACCCTGGGATCCTGCCCCTCTGATACAGGATGGATGCTGTGTTTTCTAAGCTCTCAGTACATATCCAGACTGGGCTCCTAGACAGTCCTGGGTTCACCACAGCTCCTCCCTGCTGCCACAATGGGGTCTCCTTGAGCTCTCACGAAGGGACAGTCCCTGTCAGGGTTTGTGGGCTGTGCAGATTTTATATCTGTGACTTCTGCCTCCTCATGCACCAGCCTTCCCAGAAGGCACATGTGTGGAGTGGTTTCCCTGCCCTGAGTGTTTGCACTGAAGCACAGCCCTGGTGTTTTGGCTGCTCATCACTGGCCATGCTCTCTGCCTATAGCTCTGTATACAGGGGGTGGCGATTCCACAGGGAGAAGCCCTGAGACAGGGTTAGCTTCGTACAGAAAGCAGAAGGTCCTAGCGCTGCCGCCAGGGTCCGTCTCCGGGGACTCCTGGTGCTCTCACCTCACTGCTGCCGGGTTGCCGTTTTCAGATGTTTTTTCCCCCTGTTCCCTTTCTTTTTGCCAGTCTGTGGAATAGTTTGGTTCACAGAAGGCTTGGGTGCCCTGGAGTTCCTCTGTACCTCTTCTTACCTCCAGACTTGGTCCCATTCTGGCTTTTGAAATTCAGGCTTTAGCCTCCCTTCCCCAAGCTTGTGGCCACTCCCCTCCTCATGCAGCCTCCAGAACCTTCTTTCCCTGTGTTGTAGCTCCATCCCTTTGTGAATTCCCCTGCAGCTTCGGTTCTCTTCACCGTGTCCCTGGACGGGTGTCTCTGTTGCCTCTTCCAACAGGCTAGCACCAAGGCCCCCAATTTCTGGAGGTTCCTCTCTCTATATAATGTGTATGTATATGAATATGTGAACAGACATGTATGCTTATGTGTATGTATGTGCACAAACACTCAGGCCTAGACACAGCCCCGAGTGGCCCTCCTCCAGGAACAGCATTATGCTGAGTACCAAGGTCTGCCTGAACCCTTCTTGATTCTCACCATTGCCCTGGAAGGATCAGAGCTCACAGCCTGAGGTTGCTGGAGCTGTGGCGGAGCAGGTAAGTTGTAGAGAGTCCTGTGGTAGCACTGGACCCTCCTTACCGGGGGAGTGCAAATGTGTCTGGTTAAGACAAACCCAGTGTCATTAGTGCATGGAAGGGAGCTCCAGAAGACTGGTCCTTACCTCATCGCTGCCCTTCCCAGGCACAGCAAGCATCCAACATAGCTGTCCCCTGGCCAGGACTGAGCTCTTGCAGAAGCCCACACTGTCCAACTGAACTGCGTCCATGATGGTGTTCCTGCCCTCTGCCAAATCCCACAGGCACAGCCGCAGGTCCCGGCCCTGGCTGACGAAGCAAGGGGAGGAGATCTGTGAGACACTGTAAGCATTATGTACCTACTGGACTGGCATCTGTCTGGTCCAAAGCCCTTCACTGCTGAAGGTGGCCACGTTTCCAGAAGACGGCCACGTAAGCTTTGCACCATCCAGGCTAGCGGCCTCAGATGAGGAGGGTTTCTCCCTCAGTGTTCACAGCTAAGTTGGCATCTAAGGCACTGAGGCCAGGACTTTCAGTAGACTAAAAATGTGGACACTGAGACCTGCACCTATGACCAGCCTCCTGCCGCTCAATGCCACTAAAGTATGCCTTGAACCCCTTCCCTCTCTGTAAACTGCCTTTAAGGACTCAGAAATCTCGCTCGAGTCTCTTCCAAAGTATATCTGAGACCTACATTCAATCAAAATGCCAGGCAAGCATGTAGAGAGCAGCTCTAGGCATCACCACCCGAGCTGGAAACAATCCAGCTGCTCTGCAACAAAAGAACAGCCAAGTATACTGTGCCACAGAGTGCCACTCAGCAAGGGACGGCGCCGACTGCTGACACACGCAACAGCTGGAAGGAAGTTGAGCCACGGTCTGCTAAGTGAAAGAAGCCAGATCTGAAGGATCTGCAGCGTGTAACTACAGCCCTGTGGTTTCCAGAAAAGGAATGGGCACAGGGATGGAGAGCCATGAGAGAACGGACCACAGTGGGTAGCTCTAGGCTTTGTGGGATGGCAGGCTGCTTCATGAGGCCTTGGGGAAATGGACACATGGCAGTGCTGTGCCAAACCCACAGATTCACAGACAGTGTGACTGTCATTGTGTACAATGAAAACAGCCCCAGCCAGCTGAGCAAGAGCCAGGAGCCGGTGAGGGACTGCTCTGACTATGTAGATGACAGGACACCGGTTCAGGAAGCACACACGGAAGCTGAGCTGAGGCACGCGGAGAGGTGCTGACTGAGACTGTATGGCTAAAGATTCATAACTCTAGAAACAGTGAACCTGAACAGGCCTGGATCCTTACAGGCACTGGCTCTGCCCTCTCTGGCAAAGAAAATATTGGAGCCAGTAGTGGATGTAGGGATGTGGTTTCTATCCAAAGAGCTGTGGCAAGGCTGGTGAGCACATAAAACTGTGGGTCACATCAGAACCTAGAGGTCAGTGTGAACATGTGTGTGGCCAGACACATGCAGATAGGACGGACACACAGCAGAACATAGGTGGATGTGATAGTATGGGCAATGTAGGTTCAAGTTTCCATCCCCATGTGCCACCCATGGACAGCCTGGGGCTCAAACTCATCAGTTTTCTAATCACCACAGCCAGATTTCTGGAGACGTGGATTCTAGGGCTGGAGTAAGGAAGACCAGTGTGGGAAGTGAGGGAGCATCACAAAACAAGTCTCTTGGCAGCGAGCCAGGGACCGCTGTTCCTCATAGGTTCCTCGGTTCTGACCACAGCAGCATTCTACCGACTGGAGTGAGGAGGAATGAGGGAAACAGAGGCCCACGAGAACACAGAACTACTGCAGCAGAAGCCGCGGCAGGAAGCCACTGGCGGGAAAAACCAGGTATGAGCACAGGCTCAGAGTGTCCCCAGAACTTTCTAGGGCCTGGACTGGCTTTAACAGGCCTGCATGTCCTTGGACACCCCCGGCCCCTTCTATGACCTGCTTCTCAAGAACCTAGGAAATACCATGGGCTGAGGGCCCTTTTCTTTTCTTCTCCTCCCCCTCCCCCTCCTCTTCCTCCTTCTTTTTCTTTTTTCTTTTTTTGTATTTTGAGACAGGGTCTCTCTATAGAGTTCCTGGCTGACCTGAAGCTCACAGAGATCCTTGGGCCTGTCTCCCGAGTCCTGGGATAAAAGTCCCCTGCTTCCCCATTTTCTAGAGGCCTCACTGCCAACAGCATCTTTTATTTCATTTGTTTCGTTAAGGGCCATCAGGCCCACATGAGGACCTCTTTTTTAAAATATGTGGGACTGCAAGTGCTCAGATATTTTCAGAGTTTGGAATATTTGTGTAAACGTCACCAGGTAAACCTCCCTATTGTGAAAACAGGAAATATGAAACGCTCCGAAATCTGAAACTTTATGATGCTAAAACTTTCAGATTTTTATGTAGGAAGTGGTGGTGCATGTTTTTAATCCCAGAACTCAGGAGGTAAAGACAGGTGAATCTCTGTGAGTTCAGGTCCAGCCTGGTCTACAACATAAGGCATTCCAGGTTAGCCAGAAATACATAGAGAGACCCTGCTTCAAAAACCAACAAGAAGCAAGCTTTCAGAGTTTCAGATTAGGGAAAGTCAACTTCTTGGATGCTGACAGTGGGCCAGCAGACACCTGGGTGACCGAGGCCGGTCTCACCTGCCAAGGAGACACGGGACTCATGCACCTCCAGCACCATAAGGTTGGCAGTTACCACACTGGGCTTCCTCCCCAAACCCAGGGCCTGTCTTACCCTGACCCTGGGGGCATTCTGCAGAGTACCTGCAAAGTACCAGGATCGTGGGAAACAAGGACCAGGGAGCCGATCCCAGAGCCCACATGCAGCTGTTAGCATTTCCTTCCTGCCGCTGACCCTGGATACTGCTGTCAACAGGGCTGAGTATGGAGAGGAAGAACAGAAAGGATGATGGGATGGCGGGCTTTGCCTGCATCCCACATCAACAGAGGAACTGGCAATCTAAAAGAAGCAACAGTGAGCTCTGGAGATAGGCTAAGATTGCCCATGTCTTAGCATAGGCTCCTTCTTAAGACTCAGGAGCCCGACCACATGGGGAAGGCCTGACCAATGTGACTCCATTACCATGAAGACACCCCTAGGAGAGTACAAATATATGTCACCCTGTAGGAGATAATCTGCGACAGAATAATGATGCTATGTAAAATATAAACAGGACTTCACATATCAATAAGAAAAATGCAGTCAGTCCAGTAGGAAAATGGGCAGAAGCCAGTGGTATCACAAACTGGCCTCAAACTCAGCAATCCTGTCCGGCTTCCTGAGCACTGGGACCACAGGTATGCATTAAGTACCTGGTAGTCTTTTGTTTCCCTAACTTAAAGTTAGGAAAAACTCATAAAAAAAAAAAAAAATTCTGCTCTTTTTCCAGACATTCAGCAAGACAGTCTAGCAGTCCTGGGCTGCTGCCCACGGCACAGTGGGCGGGCTGCAGTGCCGTCCTTGACTGCCCAGTGGTTACTCAGGTGCCACAAGGGTCTGCGTACTCCTCATGAGCCTGTAAATAAGTGGTTTCATGATGAGGAAGGTAAAGAAATGCTAGCCGGTGCAGCTCTTGTGGCCCAGGTGCAACCAGGGCTGGGGGTCCTCCCGCCCTGGGAGATATGAAAGTACACAACCCTTCCAGGGCCTCTTGGAGAAACCTGGACCCAAACACAGCTGAGGCTGGGCAGCCTTGGTGGGCCGTGGTCTCCAGTGCAGTGCAAATGCACCTGGGCACCCACACCTGCAGCCCCACCACAGGCCTCCTGACCTCAGTGGGGACTGTAGGAGGGGCTGCAGCGCCACCACCCTGGCTGGGAGACAGGGTGTTTATGTAAGTGCCAGCCCCAGGCTACCCGTCATGCCTTTCAAGCCACCCAAGTGTCCAGGCCCTGGGTGAGCAGGGACTCCTGAGGGCTCAACTTTCAGCTCTTTTGAGCCTGGGCCCTGCTTTATTCATCCCTGTACCTTTTTAGCACATGGTACGATTACCTCTGCCCACTTCTAAGCCACAACCCAGAGCCTTTCTATCAGCTGCCTTCGGGGCTGGTATCAGCTACCTCCGATGGCACCTCCCAGACCTGTCTACTTCCCAAAGGCTAGAGCTGGTCTCACACTCTTCACAAGCTACAGCCAAGCTGGCAAGATGCTCCTAACACCTTCAGTTCTGGCTAAAGGTAGTCACAGGGGTCTGTCAAAGAGTTCCCAGCATAAGTCCCCTGGGACCTGGTGCTCCCTTGTGCTGCTGTGACCCACCTGAGGAGCTGGTGCCCCTGGGGCAGTGTCTTCAGCCAGGTTACACCCTGGCCCCTGTGGCCATTTAGAGTGGCAACTATTCTTCTGGTCTGCAGGCTCCAGATGTGCACCAGGCCACTCTGAGACCTGTTGGAGTCAAGCACAGGCAGGGACAGGGGCTGCAGTCAGTAGATATCTTTAACTTGCTCCAGGCCAACACTACACACAGCCAGTGGAAGGCGACAGACTCCAAACTGAAGGTCAGCAAAGGGGGCCAGAGGGCCTACAGGTGGGGTACTTAGTCAGAACTCAGTAGTGCGAGACAGAGGCATGACTCCCTGCTCCTCCAAGGAGTTCCAGAATAGACAGTGTCTCAGGCAGGTTCTGAAGGTGTGGCAAGCAGTGTCTTCTGCCAGCACCTTAGATAAGCACCATGCTCTGTGAAGCCCAGTGCTGGACTTCACCCTGGGCTTGGGGTGGGGCAGCTGTTACTCACCCCGAGAAAAGGAGTGGGTTCCCCAGAGCTTGGGATGCTGGGCAGAAATGCAGCGTGTTCACAGGTGACTGTGTGCCTCGGAGGACAAACGTGGGACCAGGCGGTGGTGGGAACAGGCCTGCCATGTGGTAGATGCAGACCTGGGGTGCAAGGAGGACATGTGAGTGACAGAGAGCTCCACATTTCTCCAGAAGGCAGCTGGAGAGAGGGTCTAGAAAGCTGTTGGCTCAGTACCCAGCTTCTGCCCCTTCTGGGAAAAGGATGCTGCTCTCCATCATGCAGGTTCTGTGGCTGCAGAACAGCCAGCTCTTGGCATGGACCACAGGGCTGCTGGAAGTGCAGCCCATCCTTGCCCCAACTGCCAGCCTGTCAATGTTCCTGGTGGGCACCTCCAGGCCTCCCGTCCCCATGTCCCCATCTTATCTGTCAGCTCTGGTGCTACGAAGATCCAAGTCTGTCGTCCCTCCTTGGCAAGCACAATCTGGGAACCCTGTATAGAGGTCTTGCTGCCTTTATAGTAGAGCACTTGCTACCAAGCTCAAGGCCCCGGGTTCCATTTCCAGCACCACAGAAAAGGAGCCTTTGCTTGGCCAAAAAAAAATTTTTTTTAAAAAGCAAAATTTAATTTTTATTTATGTATATGTATGTTTGTGCACATGTCTGAGGGTGGCCAAGGAGGCCAGAAAAAGATATCTTAGCTAGAGTTACAGGTGGTTGTGATCACCCATGTGGGTGCTAGAAACCAAACTCCAGTCTTCTGCAAGAGCAGTAATGCTCTTTTTTTTTTTTTTTTTTTTTTTTTTAATGCTGAATGCCGTTTATTGAAGGAGGGAGGAGGTCTTAAATACAGGCTTACAGCACAATGGGAGAACCCCGGAGGGCAGAAGTTCGCTACTGATGTTTTACAATCTTGCATCTAAGCTGGTAACGCCCATTATGCAGGATACATAGACAAGGAACTTTCCTTAAGCATTCAGGAGGGTGAAACCCAGGAGGGAATTAGCAAAGGGAGGATATCAAGGTCAGCAAGTAAGGCAACAGTTATCCAAAACGGGGGGGGGAGGGGGGGGAAGGACCCTACAGGTCCCCCTTTTACTAATAAATGAACTTCTGACTTAGGGTGCATGGGACGTCAGCAGGTCACCTTACCCGTCATGGAGATGCCTGCCCAGGCCACACAGGCACTCTGTCTTAGGTTGGTGAGCGCCCCCCAGGTATTACCCGTCTCTGAATACTCATTATCATACAGGCTCAATTGTGTGTGAGCTGCAGAGTTAACTGCTGCCAAAGATCTCAAAGTGGCTGGGCTTGCAATCTGTGTGTTTGACACAGAAAAGACCAACTGAGGTCCTATCCCACCCATAGTCAGTAGGCTAAAGGCAACTGAGCCATTCCCTTCCTTAACGAGCCTTACTGCAAATTGGAGTCCTTGTAAGATGGTATCCCAAAGGCAAATGGAACTTGAGTTAATAAATTTATAAATTTCAAAGGCTTGGCCAAATTTGATTGAGGCTCCTGGACCTTCTGGCAGGCCCAGTTTTGGCAAAAACTCTAAGTCAATTAAATATCACCCCATACCCATTATCTGCACGCTTTCAGAATGATCAGGTCCCCTCAGCCTTTACTAGCCATCAAGTGGCACGTGCTTACCCTGGTCTGCCTTCAGTCTGGATCCCTAGACACCTTTTTCCATGCACTGTGTGAAGATGTATTGCTGTGATTGGTGTAATAAAGAGCTGAGTGGCCAATAGATAGGCAGGAGAGGATAAGCAGGACTTTTGGGGACAGAGAGGACTCTGGGAAGAAAGACGAATACTCCCGGAGAGGCAGAGTAAACAGGATGTGCAGGAGGAGAGGTAACAGCCATGAGCCACGTGGCAGAATGCAGATTAATATAAATGAACTAATTTAAGTAAGAGCTAGATAGGAACAAGCCTAAGCTACAGGCCAAGCTTTCATAATTAATAAGAAGTCTCCATGTCATTATTTGGGAGCTGGCAGGACAGAGAAAGAATTGTTACACTTCCACCTGCCCCCTGCTATAAGCCTACTATAAACCCTGCTATAAACCCTGACTTGTAACACTTTTCAGTTAGGCTCAATCTCTTTTTCTCACAAGAGCCCACATCCCTCTCCCTATGGTGTTCCATGAGTCAGTATTCAAGACAGCCCCCGCCCACAGTGACCCTGCATACTCACAGCACTTATCCTGACACACACTGGGCTGACCCTCCCAGCAGGCTTCCCCTGTGACTCCCTTGGGAGCCCTCCTGGAGTCCCTTGGCTTTCCTCCCTAAAGTAGGGTAATGGCACGCCTGGATGACAGATACCATCCCTGCCCCACTGCCAGCTTGGGGAGTCTGGGCTGTGTCACCCCTGCCCTGTGCCCAGTGCCAGCACCTGCTCAGCAGATATGTGTTTACAAATGAGAGCTGTGTGGGGTCCTAAGAGTGCTACAAACAGCCCTATTGGATCCCGGCCTGAACTGCCAAAACTTCTAAGTATTTTTGCTTGTTTGTTTATTTGTTTTCAAGACAGGGTTTCTCTGTGTAGACCTGGCTGTCCTGGAACTCTCTCTATAGACCAGGCTGGCCTTGAATTCAGAGATCCGCCTGCCTCTGCCTCTAAAGTGCTGGGAATAAAAGTGTGCACTATCATCGCCAGGCCAAAACTTCTAATTATAACCACTCTGAGACTAGCATACTCTTTACTTTTGAGAAACTGAGATAGGAAATGATTGGGTGAGCTGCCCCACATTTCTGGGAATGGGCCTGAAATGCTCTCAAGGCATGTGCCACCAAGAGGCAGAGCAGTCAGGAAAGGTACATGGGAAGGGGCAGGACCAAGTCACCTGGCCACATCCACAGAACTGCTGGCCCAGCCGACAGACCACTCCACAAAGCACAGGACTTGTATTTAAGACCTGCTAGGGTCTACCTTGCAGAGGATAAAATTCCAGTGCCCTAGACCACACATTCAACCTTGTCTGTAGTCCGCCCCCTCACACCAGGCCAGTCCCTCAGCTGGCTGCTCTTCACAGGCAGGGGTGGCCCCAAAGCCAGGAGCTGGGATGAAGGTACAGGAGAAAAGGTCAGAGGCAGACAGCAGGGGGGCTGCAGCAGGTTGTTTCAGGAGTCTTTCCACTGGGCAAGGGCACATCCTACTCTGCTTACATGCAGCCCGCACAGCAGGGAGGCACAGCTCTGCCCAACCTGGGTGGTAGCTGCAGCCGTCAAAAGAACACGGCAAAGAAAAGAATGGAGCAAAAGAGCCGGGCAGGATTCTTCCAGAGTGGAGACTGGGCTTTAAGGCTGGTGTGGAATGTGGGAGGAGGGCCTACAGGCTGAGGCCACACGCAGCTATGAGCAGTCCAGAGGCCAGGGAGGCAAAGGCTTCTGTAATAGGCAGCCTCTCCTATTGTACCCCAACAAGGACATCGTCCACCAACATGCCCCAGTGCCACACCTCCACACTATCCTATGCTCTCACCTTTTCCTCTGTTACAGGAAATGCAGATATGGGCTCTGATCCATACCACAGTGGAAGGCATACAGCAGTCAGAGCCAGGCTCCCAGGAGACCTGGGCCCTTTGGAGGGTAGTCTAGGCAGGGCCGTGCCAGGGAAGGCCAGTGAGGTCTTACCCATGACAGTGGCACGAGATCAGATAGGAATCTAGTCCTACTGACCTGATTTAGGTCCCACCAGGTCAAGCCCTAACTCTGCCCTTGGACCCTGATTCCCTCAAGGGCTTTCCAAGAAAACAAGGTTACCAGGAACGCATGTATAAACTGCCAAATCCCTTCTTTTCTGATTCTTTTGGGGGTGGTAGGGAAGGAGCTTTAGCTATACAAAACTCATCATTTGCTAAAAGCTAACTCTTCGCAAATGTGAGGTGACTTCTGCAGAGAAGACATGACCTCACAGTGTTCACAGACACATGACCCTGAAAAGATCACAAATGCTGGAAGAACTGCCTCAATCAGGTGGCCCAAAGGACAGGTTCAGAGGGCAGCTGTGGGCCCTCCAAAGCCCAACTGTGTTCTTGCCAGATCCAGGTCCACAGGCGCTAGCTCCACCACTGCCAAGAACTTAACCTCTTACAGCATGTTCACCTAACAGGAAAGCCCCAAGGCCGGGATAGGGGCATCCTGCCACACAGGTCCAAGCAATGAGGTCTGACAGGCTATCCCCCTGCAGGAGGCCACTTCGGTAGGCACGGGGTGTAATCCAGATAGCACACATAACTTTAGCCATGTGTATACACACAGACACACAGATGCTCACACTTATACATGCATACATACACACCGACCCACACAGATGTACCCCCTTCAGATACATTCCACACACAAGGGCATACAGACCCTCAAGTACACACCAAAACACATGTGTACACTTGTGCTCACATGCACACTCATGCACATACATGTATAAGAGTTCTCACACACATGACCCTGGGCATTGCCAGCCTAAGCTCAGCCCACACTTGCCGCCTGCCTGCGGCATGGTGGGAGTTTCCAGAACCTCACAGCAGAAGGCTCATTGTGAGGTGATGAAATCAAGGTCTCCTCTATTGTCTCCCCAGAAATGCAGGGAACAAACCCGTCACGTCACGCTGTTACAACAGCCGAAAAGCTCAGGCCAAAATGATGCATCAACAATTAAGGGCTCCATCATTTCAGGCAATTAAAATAAACGCTTTATTTGAAAACTAATTAATTCTACCTACATATTTTTCCTATGACAATATCCTATGATTACTTGATTTATGACACCTAATTATTCTTTATTAATCTAATTGAGAATAATTGTATTATCCTATCTCTCCTGGCCCCTGGCCGCGCCAGTGGAGGCCTCGGCCCTTGTGTGCGGCCCATGCACAGGCGGCTGCATGGTGCTGAGGCTCTACCTCTACTATGAGTGGGAGAGCAGAAGATCAGAAAACAATGCAGCGCACACTTTGGTTCTGCCTGCTCTTCAAGATGTCGGAGCACGATAAATTATTTTAAAAATTTACAGGAGAGACAACCTGGCCATTTGGGAAATGGATGACCTTTCCTATAAATGTTACAAGTACCAAAGTGAGTGATAACCGTGTTCCCCTGGGCAAATTACAGCAGCCTTTGTCTAGAGGCCTCAG